GGTTACTGACAATTCCTGCAAACTTGGACTTCCTGGGCCTGCCAAACTAGCCCCCAAGTCCAGCAGCCTCCTTCTCTCCTGGCTTACAGTGGAGAGTTTAGTCTTGTCTTGTGAGATGGATTAAATAGAACATCTATTCCGAGAGAATAGATAGTCTAGGAGGTTCTTTCTGTCTCTGAGGTGCCACAGGTCTCATTGTGAGTAAAGGGAAACAAATGCCCATAAGAAAATGAAAAGGTGTTTGGGTGGCCCAAGTATACAATCTGAACGTGACTTGTGCTTTGTGATTAAAGCGAAAGTTCCTGTGCTCAGATGTCTGATGAATGAATACATGAATGGATGAGTGAATGAGTGATTGACTACAGGGGGCCTTTGCTGGCAGGGCAAGGCCTCCCTGTGGTAACCTACACACTCTCTCCCTTCCCTATGGAGCAGTAGCCTCGTCCCTGCTCTGGACCCTCCATCTGAGGCAGGAGGGGAGCCTCTTGAGATGTGGGGGCCGGGCCCAGCCCTGACTCTAACTGGCTTTGTGCCCCGGAGCACGTGGGGCTTCATTTTCTCACCAGTAAGAGAAACACTAATCAAGAACCATGAAATGGTCCACTTCTGACTCCATAATTCCATTTCTCAGATTCCATTTTGGGAATCAACCTGAGTGACAACAAAAGGTATGCATGAAGGGGTTTCTAAGTTTATCATTGGAGAAAAATTGAAACAACTTCAATTCTAAGCACAGGGAACGGGATAAAGACACAGGTTATGTTTACCACTATGTCTGCTGTCACTGTGTTCTTACGGAACATACAAAGTTTTAAGCTAAATGTGAAGTGAAAATATTTCTATGCTAATATGATCATAAGGAAATGAAAAACCTGCGCCCAGAAAATAGTTGGAAGGAAAAACTCTAAAAAGTTACTAGTAGTTGTCTCTGGGTGGGACTGTGGTTTTTAAAACTGTCTAGTTGGTTGCATTCTCTGCATGTTTTGGAGAATGTAACTTAGTGGTTTGGGGGTGAGGGCCAGCTTTTGTCAGAGCCCGGCTCCATGCTGATGGGCCTTTCCGTTCTCACTGATGCTGTGCAGGTAGCAACACTGCTTCACACACCGACGTGTGTGGGTGCGGTTAGCATGGTGCCTGCAGCCCAGAAAGCACTCCTTAAATGTTAGCTGTCACTTTAGAGCGGGACAAACATAATAAACTTTAACAATAAACTCAAAGTATCTGGGGTGGCAGAAATGGGGAGTGACCGCTAACAGGTACAGGGTTTCTTTTTGGGGTGATGAAAATGTTCTGGAATCAGACAGTCATGATGGTTACACAACCCTGTGGACATCCAAAGCCATGAAACTATATACTTTAAAATGGTAAATTTTAGGACACATGAATTATATCTCAATTGAAAAAACGCAGGGCCGGCCCGGTGGCGCACTGGAGAGTGCCCCGCTTAGGAGTGCGGCGGCGCTCCCGCCAAGGGTTTGGATCCCATGTGGAGACCGGTTCCTGCTCACTGGCTGAGCGCGGTGCGGGCGCAACACCGAGGGTTGCGATCCCGTTACCAGTCAGTAAAAAAGACAAAAAGGAAAAAAAAAAAAAGAAAAAATGCAAAGAAACCATAAATGAAAATAATAAAAGGATTGTAATTGGGGCTTCCTCAAACAGGGATAAGGTCTGAGGACATTTTAAAGTACCTTGCTCACAGTCGGTACGAATAAAACACATTTTTCCTCTTGGCTGCTTTAATTCTCAGCTGGTGATATGAGCCTTAGTATCTCTTTTAGCTCTGAAGCCTTTCTACAGCAGTCTTCAGGGGATCCTCCAGAACCCAGGGGGAGAAGGAAACAGACTCTTTGTAACTTTTTAGCCGACCAGCAGATGGGGACAGAAATAAGGAGGTGGGTTAGCGGCAGAAATGAGGCGGGCAGCCAGCACTGACCTCAGGGCACGGTCCAGCCAGCCCCCAGGTGAGAGACTCACTTACCTAGGAAGCCCTCCTCATCAACAATGATAGTGTAATCCTCTGGTGTCTCCGTCAGACTGAAGAACTTGCACCTGGGTAGATGGACAGACAGACACAGGATATCTGTTAGACCTGCAGGGCTCTGTGGCAGCCGCCCATCCATGACCCAGAGGGAGACGACTTAAGTTTACTCAGACCCCCACCTGCTGGGTGACCTCAGGTAAGCTGCTTATTTCTCCCTTTGGGTCCCCCCAGTTCTGACTCAGAAGGTCGCAGAGGGCCGGCCCCGTGGCGCACTCGGGAGAGTGCGGTGCTTGGGAGCGCAGCAGTGCTCCTGCCGCGGGTTCGGATCCTATATAGGGATGGCCGGTGCACTCACTGGCTGAGCGCGGTGCGGGCAACACCAAGCCAAGGGTTGCGATCCCCTTACCGGTCACAAAAAAGGACAAAAAAAAAAAAAAAGAAGGTCGCAGAGAGGCCTAGAGATGATCATCCCCTCTGCACCCCTCCCCTCAATCTTTGGGGACCTCTGAGCCAGACAGCCCCTAGGACATTGTGCAGGCCTGAGAGTCTTAGATCCCACTTCTTCTCAGACAGAGGAAGTGGCTGAAGGGTGGCTTTGGCAGGGCTGGTCAGATGAACTGTGTTTTCCACAGACCCTCCAACTGTGACCTTGAGGCCTCTGTCCCTGTCTTTCCAATCATCCTGGCCCCTCTCCTCACCAACTTGTGAGCTCCAGTTATTAAAGGTGTGATTCCCATCAACCCGTCTGACAGCCCAGCTTTGGGTTATGAGTTTTCTTCCTCATAAGAAAAAGGGCTGTGGCTGCCTGTGATGTTTTTGGGGCACAGATCTGTGCACTGCTGCACATCACCTTTGGTCACTATTGCTCAGCCTGGGGTGTATATTGCTCATTGTATCCCAAAATGAGACCACTGATTCACCAAGGACAGGGACTGGGCATCACCCTGTCACTGCTGATCTCGGTCCCAAGCAGACATGCTGGGCAGTCAATAGAGGGAGCCTGGTTCCGTGTCCAGCAGCCCTCAGGTCAGGCTTTGAGGCTTTTGGTCTCTGGGTGAGGGGGGTTATTGTCCTCTAGTGCCCGTGTCCCTATTCCCCATCCAGCGAGAACCGCTCCCAGAGTGCCCTGGCTGTGGCTGCAGGAGAGAAGGCGAGTCTGAGCATGTGTAGGCAGTGGCTTGCAGAAAACTGACCTCTGGTCATTTATCTGGCATCACTGTGCTTAAGCAAGAGCATTGGATCAATGCATAAAACCCACCCATCATGGGAAGCCCAGACAGAAAGAGGCCCAATGAGTGACCCAGGCAAGTCCAAATATCACTTCCGCAAAGACTAAAATGGAAAAGGCATGTTGAAGTGGACAGCGTGGCAGGGGAGAGGGGGAGCTGGTATGTCTAATTTCTCTCCTAACCCGTCATCAGCTGCCCTGCAACACTGCGGCCTCATCAACAGAACCTCCACAGCACCCTTTAAAACATATTAACTAAAATTCTCACAAGGACGAGGAGCAACTGTTGCTGGTGGGAATGCAAATTGGTCCAGCTATTTGGACAACCGTCTGGTATTTTCTTACAAAGTTAAGTATACACGGACCATATGACTCAGGAATCCTACTCCAGATGAACATGTATGCACACAAAGACCTGCACACACACGCGGGTAGCCTTTGTAATCACGCCAAACTGGAAACCACCCAAACGCCCTCCCGTCAACTGGAGAGTCGATAACTGTGGCACCTCACATAGAGGAATACCAGTCAGCGATCACCAGGAATGAACTGCTGATTCATGCAATAACGTGGAAGTGTCTCGAATGCATTTTGCTAAGTGAAAAATTAAACCAAAGAACTGTCTATTAAAAAGTAAGAATTTTGCCATATGTAAATTATACCTAGATAAACCTAAATGTAAAGAAAATGCCTGTGCTAGGGTTGTAAATGAGGTGGCCTTCTCTTTCCCTTTGACATTGTACTCAACCAACAGCACACTCTTCAATTTCCCTCCAGCTCTTTGGTTTTCAAATTACATCTCTGTCCCTGCCTGTCCCATATTCAATTCGCAACTATTGCCTGGACAAATGAAATGTATAATTGCTTTGAGGAAAACAGCAAGTTATCACCTTAGTAGGTGGCAATTGCTGGTCTGGCTTAGCGCCTTCCTAGGGACCCCCATGCACTCAGAAAGAAACCCCCCGCACCAGATTGCCATGAGCTGGTACTCTCTGGTTGGGGAGGGGCCCCCCAGCTGTCTGAGAGTCCGTGAGGACAAAGGGACATGGCGCTTGTTCCTGGTGCCCTCTTGGCTGTGAGGGACACTCCAGAAATAGACCACACAAGTTATTCTGGAGGGCATAAACACCACCAGAAAGCAACAGCAGCCTGTGTACAGAGGGTGTGAACTCGTTGTTGAAGTGACCCATCTCCTGAGGTCAGCGCCTCTGTGGCCCTGCCAGCTGTTGCATATCCATCTCCAAATGTGCACCTTGGCACGCCAGGTCTTGGGGAGGGCGGATCCGCTGGACAGAGCTGCCACTATCACTCTGGCCACCAAACTCAGGAGTCGAGTCAGACCCCAGACTGTCCCCTTACCCTTACCCCCATGTCCTCTGTGTGTGTAAGCCCCACCCCATCTTACCTCCTCCACCGCTCCCTGCACACGTGAACTCTTGCCTGGTCTGCTTTATACTTTTTTTTTTTTTTTGCATCTGGCCAGTACCAGGATCCAAACCTGTGATCTTGAGGTTATGAGGCTGTGCTCCAACCAACTGAGCAAACCGGCCAGCCTCACCTGGAAGACTGTACCAGCCTCCTGCCTTGTCTCGCTCATCCACTCCTGGCCTGTCCCTCTGCTCCCCAGTCTCATGCCTCTAAAGGTGGACAAATGTCTTTCCACTGCCCAGAATACCCTTCCCCCTTTGTTGGCCAGAGACTATCTGCTCATTCTTTAAGGCCCAGTTCAAGTATCTCCTCTGGGGTACAACCTTTCCTGATCAGCACCAGGCACCCCCTCTCCCTCATCTCCCATCACAGAGGCAGTCTGCCCTTGACAGCCCACAGCCTCACGCTGTGTCCACGAGAGGACTTTCAGACCACTGTGACAGCTGGGCTTGCAGTTCATTCATCTCATGGTCTATGTGAAGTACACCCTCAGAATTGGGCAGTGCCCAACCTGTGCAACTGCTCACGATGGTCCTGAGCGCTTTCCACAATTTATTACAAACAATACCATAAACTCTCAGAGGCAAGGACACTGGGTCCTCTGTACACACACCTAGTACCCGACACTGGCTGGGCATAGAATCAACACTCAATGACTGCTGAGCAAAGGAGGGGGCTATGGCCACACACCTACCTTCAAAGCCAGAGAAGCCCCAATCAGAAAAAACGCTGCCCACCCTCATGTGGCATCACCTTGACTTACCCCTTCCCTGGGAGATGCTAGTCTCCAGTCCCAACTCCACCTTCTCTAACAAGTTGTGACTGGGACCACAGCCCAGATGCTGGGCTCCTGGTGTCTGTGGCCTCTCTGCACCCTGTTGGCAAGGAGCTGTAGAGAGGACCAAACCAAAAACCCTAAAATTACCCAGCCTGGTGCTAAGTGCTATTAGGAAACCCAAGGAAGGAGAGTAGAATGGTCTGCCCTCTAGATGCCCTCAAGGGACGGGAAATAAGATGAAACAACAGGGGAAGAGACAGAAGCCTGGGATGGAGCAAGAAGGCTGTGGTCCTGGAGACCTGGGTTCGAGTCGACTTGGCACCTGGAAAAGGTGCACCCTGGGCCACCTCATTCCTCTGCATAATGTGGGACAAGTAAGTCCAGGGTGGACTAGTTCCCATCCAGCTCCAGCTTGGGAAGTGCACAGGCCTCGTGGAGCCCACCAGGGCTGACCTTGAGGGGCCTGACCAAAAAAGTTCTGATCCCAGAACTGTCAAGTCTGCCTGGAAAACTCCTTCAAGAGCAGGAAAAACCCCAACCAGCTCTGATCAGAACCCAAGAAATTATCTGGTGACAGATCTACATCCCAGGCAGCTGGGCAGGTCGTGCATCACAACTCTGGGGGAGAGGGCTTTTTCATCTCACAGTCTATGTGAAGAGCGATTTAGAGTTGGGCAGTGCACAACCTGGTGCAACTGTATGATTGTCACTTGGTAGGTCCTGTAGGACCTTTGTGTCAGGTAGATGGGACACAAAACTCTAGAGCCCTGTGCAATGAAGGAGGGAGACTGAGAGACAGCAGCTGTAGCTCACTGTGGTTCAGGACACACCCCAAAATCATGCTGGTCCCCTGCCCAGGAACACCACTGCACCCCTAAGCTCTGTGAATGGAATATGTGTGTTAGATGAGGGCAGGCCGCACCAGGGAGCCTGTGTCTGTTCAGGACCTCCTAGCCAACATAGAGTATGCCCAAGGGGACTGAGGGGACTCTCAAATGTACCCCATCAGCCTTGGGGGAAATCCAGCCACCACCTCTAAATCTCTGAAGGGCTGTTGTGGACCATAGGATACTGGCTTGTTCAGAGCGGCAGAGAGATTAAGAGCTTACAGTTGTACGACTTTAGGCAAGTTACTTAATCTCTTGGTGCCTCAGTTTCCTCATCCATAAAATGGGGATAATACTAGTACCTACTTCACAGGGTTATTGTTGAAGAGTAAATGAGTTAACAGCCAGTGTGACTATGGTAAGTGCTTGGTGTACTAACTGTTTATTCTTGGAGGGTAGAGACAGCTGAGGGGAAGGCCAACTTGGGTTCACAGTAAGAAAAGCTCTATAGCCAGCTGGACTTCAAGAGGCTGACGGGCTGGCTTGGGGGGCAGTGAGTTGTCTGTTGTCAGAGGGCTGAGCCCTGGGCAGGCGGGCTGCAGGAATGATCTGTCTTGAGGGGTGGATGGATCAAACTACCTCAAGGCTCTGTGGAGCACGGAGTCTCTAACTCTTTGAAACACCTTCTTCCTCACTGGCCTGAAGCAACAAGCTTTGGCTGAAAAGTTTTCACTCACCTTCCCGGCAGCCTAGCTCCCCACTAGGTAGCCAGCAAAGCAACGATGGCTCCACTTTACAATGGAAGAGACTAACTCAGCCTGAAATCCCCAGTGAGTCTATGTTGGAGCCAAACCTGCAGCCTTGGGCCCAACCCTCCT